CTCTGTTGTTCCATTTGTAGATCACTAAAATAACATTCTTCCTGATCAAAATCACACTCCTAGACCTTACTTTAAAAATATTGTTTTCAAAATTCCATTTTTGTAGCAGATACTGAATTTTAAAAAGTAAAAAAACAAAATTATACCAGTAAGAATTTAATTTAAAATATCTAGAAATTTTTACACATTTTAAGTGGCCATTCTGACATTTATCAGCTTGACTGAATATGTATTTATCATATTTGAAAAAAAATAAAAAAATAATTTATAGTTAAAAAAAAAATGCTAAATAGTAATAATAGGAATATGGAGATCTAAAAGTTATTTATAGACATCCAGAAAGTTTATTCTAGATGTAGAGGATGTCATTTTGTACGAAATTTTAATTTAGACAGGAATACATGTTCAGTAATATTACTTGAATGGTAGTAGATCAATGTATCTATTTAAATTAAATCTTCTGGCAGCAGGTGAAAATGAAGTCTAGAAACATTGTTCTAATATAAAGAACCTGTGCATCACATCATGCGTCCCTCCTCATGTTGATTCAGTCTTTTTTTACACAGTAGCCTAGATACTAAGTGGCACAACGTTTAACATAAAAATTATATAACAAACAGTTGATTGGAATATAAAAACATCCTGTTACAACCAGTAAAGTAATAAAAAGATGGCAGGAAAGTATTATAGCTGTGACCTCAATGATTTAAAGGTGTTATATAAAATACCACTCAAACTATACTAAATGATCAATTTAACATTATAACTATTTTCAACCATTGTCTAAAAATATAAAAACATAAAACATAACATGTAGAAAGGGCAAGTTCAAAGATTAAAACTCACATAAACAGCTAATTTCAGAAGATGTGTAGATTTGGATCCATTTCAGGATCTGTGTTTTTTTTTTTAAGGATTGCTGCAGAGTCTAAGGTTGAAACTGACCCCACTGAGCTGTAGAGATGATTAGAAGTGTGAGATGTCATTTCTGGCCCAGCACCATTTTAACCAATGGAACTGCTCTCATTTGAAGTTTGCGTTCTTAATTTTTTCATATGAGAACTGCTTTTCCTGCACTGGTTACATAACGAAATAAGCTACAGTAGCTTCAGGGAGGCTATGTATTTTTAGGTTGTTTTTTTTCTTTCTTTCGGATGTTATCATCCTTATAAATGGCCGTTACAAGCGGCTATCAGCCCCATAGAATGCCCTCAGGTTGTGCCAGCAGACTCATTATGTCATCGAGTGAATTCTAATCCTAAAGTATAATCTGAAATGTGTAATCTGATAATAATTTCAGTAGTTCTTCATGTACTGTAAATATAACTAAATAAAAATAAAATTATCAGCATCTTGCTCATATTAAACAAACCAAAAACAAGTAATCTCATGCCCTGTCAATTGAGTTGTAGAATCCTCTCCCTATAAACATCTAATTCTATGTTAAAAAACGCCGATCATTCTTTAATAAGATCCTTGTCAAAAGGACATGCAATGTTTGTTTTAAAACTTAATGTGTGTTACGGAGCTATAATGAATGATATATATTTTTATGCACAAAACTATGACAAAAAACAGACTAAATCAGGATATAAAATGACGTGATTGGCTGTAAGGTGAGCGGAGACAGAGGACACTAAGTTTACTGAAGAAAACCTGCAACCGACCAGGTTAGCTCTGGAGAGAATGTTACTAAGGTGACAAAGAGAGGTTGAGGAAACTCTCTTTGTGAACCAGACCCCTGATCTCCTTTTTATCAGTCCATCAAATCATTTTCTTAGTTTAAAGTTTTTGTGAAAAGAGTCAAGGGTTAGAAAAGCTTTCACAATCATCTGTCAGTTTTACCCCCATACAGTTCATCTGCCTCAGAATGAGTACAACTATAAATATAAAACATCTATGCTTTCCTGGAAGTTTTTATACATAGTCCAAAAGATGCGTCACTGTGTGTATTTAAACTTCACTGCATATTAAACACAGGCGGTTTTCTATCTCTAAATTAATGCATTTGGTCTAAACACCAAAGATAAAAAAAAACCTTGATAAATTCGTTAGTAGTTCAAAGGTGTCAAAGGGAAATAAATACTCATTTAACTTCTCAATCCACAACCTTTAATCAAGGGCTGCACAACAGTTTAAAGATTAATTTGACAGGTCTTTAGATGTAATGCTCTGTGGGGCATGCTTTTTATTGAGACGGTACAATAAAACAACACCTGACATGAAGCGTAAAGACGGAGAGGAGGGAAGCAAAGGGAACATTGAGAAAGATTGTAAAGAGAGCTTGAGACATTTTGACTTCTCTTGCACATTACAAAACATCGAAAATAACAGATCTGCTCAAGAGCAAAAAAAAAACAACTGAGAACAATGGGGTTTTTTTTCCATCAGTCATATCCTCTTTCTTCAGAGAACCCACATGGAAAGGTCAGTTTCTACCTGCTAAAAGTACCTGAAGCAGGGTGAACTATAAGGCCTGCAGATTTGCTTGTTTACTATTTCAGAGGCACTGAATACATAATCTAGCAGTCCCATGGAGGAAATTAAAAGTGATATCCTTTTTTGTGTTCATTTGTTTTTATTTTAATCACTGATCTCAGGTCAATTTGGTAAGAATTTTGTAAGAAGGTCCATTAAACTGTTTTCCTCCAGTTGTCATTGCTTGCTTAAAGCAAAGCATAGTGCAAACTTTTCGTTTCAATGTAATTCTGCCTCAATCGGCCAATCAACTGCGAGGTTTCAATAAACATAACCAGGCGGGCATGTTAAAAGTTGACTTTTAGAATAAAATCTGTCTTTTTTTTAAAAACAATTCATTTCTATTAATATTCGTGAACATGGTTTAATAAATAAGTAGTTAAACATTTTTTTAATAATCCACCTCGATGGGTGCTTTGTTCAAGTAAAAACTTAAATTGGCAGAAAACTTTGGGGCGTCGGGTCATAAAACAGTTAGCAGTCGACTAAAACGATTAACAATCATTTATTGCGTTAGCACCACTCTGTTGCAAAACGAGGGGTTGAGCTTTCATGGGTAACAACAAAGAAAAATAACACAAATACATTTTTTTTTTTTATGAAAAACTCTCTGAAATCACTCATCAAATATCCGAAGACCAGAACCTGTGTGCTGACAAAAAAAAAAAGAGTGTTTCTATAACCATGTCCACACTAGACAGTTAGCTATGCACACAGAACACGCCTTGTTTACAGTCATGCTCTGGATCAACTTCCTCAACACAACTTTTATATTAAACTGTTTAGTAAGTCTAAGTTTATTACAATATATATTTTTATTAAACAATGGGGTGGGATGTGACATCACTGAAGCAAAGAAAGTATACTAAATGCTGTCTCTTTTTTTTTTATCCCAGTAGGGTTTTTTTTTAAACTGTGGCATAAATCTCCAAAGATGTGTGTGTGTGTTTTTAAAGATTTTTAAATCAGAACACCAGTTTAAGATCTTCATCTATAATGAGAAAAGTACCATCTCATCATCCTTGCTACTCAGGTCCAGGAATCCAGAGTCCGGTTTCTTCAGGTGCAACCGTACGGATGGAAAATAAAAAATAAAAAAGACATGATGATATCCATCTGATGGAGTTCTGCCTCAAACGTTCAGGTTTCTATCTGGTAGAAATCTGTAGATCCTTGATTGACGTCGTCTTTGCTGGTGCCACATCGCCCCCTGGTGTCTGCATTGGCCTGAGTGTCCTAAACTGCTTTAGGTCACAATACAGTGAACTCAAGCAAAAACATGAGCGCATGATGTAAACACATGGAGTGTTTTACTCGCCATGCTGTCCTTACCCTGTTCTACTTCTTGTCTGAAGGCCTTCTACAGCGCTTGCTTAGGGTTTCCCGTTCACGCTGCCCGTAAACGTAGAGTTCTTGTGGCGTAACAGCCAGGACGGAAGAAGGCTACGAGGCCTCAGCTGTCGGCTGGAGGCCTGAGCCAGGCGGACCATGCGAGGCGAACGCCACACCTTGATGGTGAAGTCGTCGCTGGCTGAGAGGAGCAGCTCCTGGTCGGCTGGGCTGAACGCCACCGAGTTCACCACGTCATCGTGCGCCAAACGGGCGAGGCAGATGTTGTAATGGCGGTCCCAGATGTAGCCATGTTTGTCCTCTGCCCCACTGCGGAGAAAAAGTCAGTGGATTGCATTGAAACAACTGAGCCCAACCCGTAACGTTCAGAGTGTTTTAATCAGACAAAATTTGTGTTTTGTGTTGATCTTTCATTTGAACTCACATCTAAATATTTGGACCTTATGGATGAAACAATTAAGCAGGGTGACTGAAAACAGCATAGAAATAAAACTCCATTTGAGAGATAAACCATCTGCACCCCACCTGGCAACAAAGTCCCTGCTGACATCAAGAAAGATGAAGAAGCACTCGTCGTTAGGAGTGAAGGCTCGATGAGCCCGGAGACTCCTCCTCTCCTCCCTCAGACTCTTAAGGTCGATGACATGCATGTCAATCTCCTCGGCGATGGGAGGCGGGGACATTGGATCTGAGATCACGCATCCTTTCGGCCAGGCTCTGCTGTTTACGTATAGATACCTGAGCGACAACAGCAAAACAGCTTGAGTCATAATATCAAAACTTTGGGTGATAATTATGCAGCAGCTGTTCAACAAGAATTTAAAACATTTCTGTTATGGATGGAAAAGGAGGAAGTGAAGACTGAATTTTAAATGGAACAAAAAGTTCTAGAAACAAACAAGGAGGAAAAAGGAAGGAGACAAGGATAATATACAGACGGGAGGAAAAGAACGAAGTCTATTAAAATAAATATGTTACTTCCTTATCCAGCACTGAAAACTACAGCTATGCTTAGCCCTGGATGCACCAGAAAACCCCAAACTATAGAATAAATTTGCAATCCCAATCCAGTGGGAGTCATATTGGTCTTACCTGTGGTCAGGAGAAAGGCCCATACCGATGATGTGGCCATGAATATCAATAACGTGGTCCAGTGAATCAAAAAACTCCTCTGAGCTCCTCTCCTCTCCAAGCACATCGCCGGAAGTGGTCATCTGGTCGGGTTTGATTCGCTTAATGCCTGAGAAGGAACGAGCAACGACATAAGATAGAGGACATCTCTATGTGTCACAGTCACAAGCTTTGATTCTAGTATAGAATATTTTATATAGATATACCTATCTGGTGAGGGGAGTATGTAAGGCTGCCAGTGGTGAAGATTAAGTATGTTTTATCCTCCCCCTCTTCAGACTGGGAGGGGTCGGTGAGGCTGGCGTCTGGGGTCTTGGTGTAGGCTCTGCCCATCATCTTAGCAACCTGAGTCTCAATCTGTAGCTCCCTGGCCCCCACGTGTTTACGGCTCTGGATCGGAATGAATAAAAAATATATATATAAAAAGACAACAGATTTTTTTTTTATCCGTCAAAAATCCAGAATTCAGCTAAATCTTACATGATTGATGTGGTCCAGGCCAGATATTGTTAGCTGGGGGGTCCTTGCAGACGAGAAGCTCTGACTCCTTCCATCTTTCCCACATTCCTCCTTGTTCTCTACCTCCTCCTCCTCCTCTTCTTCCTCGCTGTCGGACGTCTTCAAATCAAAAAGCAGAGGGTGATGCTGATTTCCCTGCTCAGCTCTCTGCCTCCCAGCCTGAGACTGAGCCTCATAGTCCAGCAGCAGGTCTGGGTTGTCATGCCTACGGCAGTGCGCCACCATCACCGTTCGTATTGTGCTAGCGTTGAAATTCTGGATATTGAAGAGACGCTTCACTACATTAACATTCTCAGATTCTATATCCTACAGGAAAAGAAAATACATATTAAATGAGAATGACAGAGAAAACTGCTCAGATATTTTTTGGCATCTTTAATTTATGCAAACTGGAGATTTAAATCACCTGAAAAGCTTTGTTGAGCCAGAGCACCGAGCAGGACGTCATGTTTCCAATCCAGTGCAGATTTCCTGAGATCAGGTGTGTCTCATTAAGCCAACATCCAAACACGTCATACGGTTTGTTCCTGACTCTCGACAACAGGGTGTAATTATCTGTAACAAACCATGAAGGAGAAAAAACTAAGACTCTGAACATAAAAAGGTCACAACTTCAAACCTTAATGGTTTCTTTAAAAATTTGATGCGATGGAGTAAAACAAAACAGCATAATAGTGAGGTAGAAGTTAAAAAAATGTAAAAATTCTATCTCATATGACTTACGTTTTTGTTTAACAAAACAAACCCCTAAAAATGAAGGTGGGAATTTTCATCCAGACTTTCATTCGTTTCATTCATTCTGAATACTGAATACAAATCCAAAACAACCATTTCAAACTTAACTTCCTCAAGTAGTTTTGTAGTTTTGACTTTGACAAGGCCATTATAACCCATGCATACACTTCCATCTAAACCACTCCACTGCAGCTCTGACTCCAGGGTAATTTGCTTTATCAAATAAATGATGCTCCACAGTGGCTGTTCCTTTTCACTAATGGGCAATGCATGTTTTCTGCCACATATATAATTTTTGCCTCATTAGGCAGAATACTTATTTTGGTTTGTTTCAGTGATCTTCTTTCATAGCCTATTTGATAATGGTAATAACTGGAGAGATTAAAAAATATTAATAAATGATAATAAAATTGTTAATTAACTCAGAGTAGAAAGAATTAAAAAGAAATGGAAGCCCCTCATAAAACCATGACTGTCTCCGAATGTCCGCCCTAAACACTATATAGGGCACTATATAGTGATTACGTCATTTTAGATGAGTGTCCGAATGCCTAGTGGATGAAAGAGCAGTTAACTCTAAATTTCCCACAATGCACCTGGAAAAGTAGTCATCATCCACGGTCACTAGAAGAGCAGATATATCCCAGAATGCTTTGTGAGGAGAGCTCTCCTCGCAAAGCATTAAGGGATTTGTTGTGACAGTGGCTGTTGGGTAATGATAGCTGCGATAAATAACAGAGATGCCGCAGGCACCATGCGGGGAGGCGGAGTCAGGTGAGCAAAAATAGTGATCATGTGTCCGAACAGTCAGTTAACTGAGTTCACTATAAAGTCTACTATATAAAGTCCCCGCTCTGTATAGTGATTGAGGGATTTAGGATCTGGGGCGGACGTTTGGACCCAGCCCATGTGTAATTTTTTTTTTTTTTGCATAACATATATGCAATACTTGATCAATACTCCTGATCAGTCTTAAACTACGCAAACATGACGAGATGACACATGAATACTATTTGCAAACTATAGTACTTTATCTTCACATAGAATCTTAAAAATCAGCTTTGAAAGCGAAGTTTGGCTGTCAGTTTAGAGAGGATGACAATCTGAAGTCTGATGTAACGGTTTTATATTTCTTTTTTTTTTTGTTGATTCCTTTAGTGTAAGTAATATTTCAATGACAAACTAATTTTGAAACCAAAATAAATTTACAAAATACATGGACAGGAAGTCACGTGGGAGTTAATGGTTTTCCTACCCAGACTAATGACAGCAATTTCCCCAGAAGACGAGTGGTGTGGGACCAGGTAGACGCCAGAGACGAGCAGCAGGGTATCATCAGGGTTAAACTGGGAGAACTGTGTGTAGGCCCAGTGATACTGGCGCATACTGGTGCTGTGCACCAACGAGATGTTTCCATCCTGCCGTTCGGTGTCCCACAGCTGAAAAAGAGGTTTAGAAACAGCAAACTTAATGAGGGGGAGAGAAAATGTCTTATTTTAGGCATTAAATAAAAGTATCTGAGCACTCATACAGAACACAAAAACGAGGCTTATTTAACATTACTAAAATTAATACTGCATCTGGTAGGGTCCTCTGAGGATTTTCTGCTCATTTTGCCACATTTCAGCAACAAAAAGTACAAAGACAGAAAGAAATTATAGAAAAGCCATAATAATTTAATCCAAAAAGTTGACAAGCAAAGTCAGGTCTACAATGGTATATATATGATTAGTTATTTCAGAGAGTATAATTTTAGTACCTTAACCGTGCAGTCCTTTGAACAGGAGGAGAAGCGATGGCCCCTGTGAGAAAAAGCCAGGTGAAGAACTTGGTTGGTATGCTCTCTCAGTGTCTGAACTTCCACACAAGGGATGCAGTCATACAGACGCTTAAACTCCCTGTACCACGACACAGCGGCTGCACAAGGGTGGAAAATGCATTATTAGTTCAAATAAACAAAGAAAAAAAATTTGCACTAAATCCCTCCATGGAAAACATGATTAATATGTTTACAAGGGTGTCGAGGAACGGAGCGCAGTATCCGGTAGTATCTGTAGAACAGTTCCCTCCACAGGAACTCATCTCTGGACACCGCCTGCCACTGCCTGCAGGTCAGGCCGGCTTTCAGCACAGCATAATGGGGCAGATGCAGGAAGATCTCCAAAACCAAGCTGTCCGGCAGAACTGGACTCCAATCCATTCTAACATCCTGAAACAACAACAAATGAACAAAGTGTTTTCCCCCTAATGGTTTCTTCAAGTGCTGCTTCTCCAGCGGTGTCAATTAACGAAGTACGAATACTTTGTTACTGTAATTAAGTACACTTCTATACTTTACTCCATTACTTATTTTTCTTCCTACTTCTGACTTCTACTCATTACATTTTCACAAAAGTATCTGCAGTTTCTACTCCTTACATTTTTAAAACAAACGTTACCGGTTACTCTTGGCTTCGGTTTTATGTTTAAAAGTATTTATTTCACATCATGTGCGCCACCCAATGCAGATCATTGGCGCCATCTGCATCTAGTAAAAACTAGTGTAATTGGATTCTATGCCATGCTACAATGTCGGATTCAGAAAAAGATGTCGAAATGTGTGAAAGGTCGGACACAGGCGAGAGCGTATAGGGAGATGGAGACGGAGACCAATAAGACCTCCCTCATCCTTGACCCTATCTCAAAGAATTTTTCAAAATAGTCAAAATATTGAGCTTTCAGTTCATATAGTGGCATCTGGCTGTTTATTTTAAAGGCTACTTTATACTTTTATACTTTAAGTAGTTTTTGGAGAACATACTTTTTCACTTTTACTTGAGTAAAGAGGTGAAGTTAATACTTTTACCAGAGTGTTTTTAAACTGCAGTATCTAGACTTCTACTTAAGTAACAAATGTGTGTACTTTTGACACCACTGTGCTTCTCTCATGAAACTGTAAACTATTTTTTTGAGCAAACAATAACAAAAGTAAACTAAAAAGCTGTTTTCAAATCAAGATTTATTATTGAGGGGAAAGCCCATCTCTTTAGCTAATATGTGAAAAAGCAACATTAGTTAAGATTTAGCTAATGAATCAAATTCTTTGACAAGCTAAGTCCAATCTGTCCAACAAATTTCTCCATTGTGAGACAATAAATTGATTTTCTTCTAAAGAAATCATCGAAATAGAATGGATGAAAAGATAAAGAGACCCCAAAAAATTAAAAATCTAAATGAATCTAAAAAAAAATAAGATGAAGGAAAACTGCCGGTTTCACATGTCTCAAAGGGCTACAAAGCCACCTAACATTGTTTTCCGTTTCTTTGTATTTTAGAACTTCAGTCTGAGGATGAAGACATTTTTACTGAGCAAAAGTATCCATTTTTAAAAAAATTTACCCATAAAAGTGGTGCTTCAAAAGGTATATTATGTAAGATTTTTCACTGTTTTGGACTAGTAAGCTGTTTTTTTTTTACCCAAAAACTATCAGATGTTAGTGTTCAACATGACACCATATAAAAACACTAACATTAAACACATTTAGCCAAACTCCAACAGGTAGAATAATCTAATTAAAACTGTTCATATGCAAATTATTTCATCCATACCTTTCACACCTAAAACCTGCTGTAGGTTAGCCTAATTGTCAACTTTTATTTTATTTTTTTATGACTGGGAAGGAACCTGATGTTTACTTTCTCATTATGTATCATCTGCTTATTCATATTTTTCCACATAACATTATTGATAATTTTAAATCACCATCTGCAGCCTTAAAGCAAAATCTATATCCCTGTAGTTAAAAGTGTTTATAAAATATATATAAAGGTATTTAGCCAAATGCAAAGCATTTGAATAACAACAAATAACTACTTTTAGGCCAGATTTAAAAATAAACGGCATATATTAAACTAGGTTCAGTTTTTTAAGACGAAATGTCACTACAATAAACTGTAAGGAAATGTGATGTTTCTTTCCTCTTTCGAAATCAAGATGACCGAACAGAGATGTTGCTGTCAAGCCTTTACACGTTAATATTTTTCCTTTTATCAAACAACCTGCTCTCAAACAAATGACACATTAGATACTGAAATGAATATTTGGGATTGAAAGCATGTTTTCTAAATAAAGAGCTAAAAAGTAGCTAAATAAACAGACAAGGCTAGCGCTAAACTAGCTTAGTGCAACATTTAGCTGTTAGCTAACGTCTGTTTTTAAATAGTTTGACCGGACAAGATTAACTTCAAAACAACGCTTTACTCGCATAAACTAGTGCTAATATTTTACGGAGGTATCAGATTCATGTCATACAAACTAATAAACGTTAAGTGTCACCAACCTGCTGGGTGAGAAAGGGTCGAGGAGAAACAAAATTAAAGAGCTTGCTAGCGCTAAGTGCTAGCCTCAAAAAAATGACAACAATCTCCCATATCTCCTAGCAGCTGTGAGACTCGATTAATTGAGTGCAGAATTATCGATACACCAAAATCCACTCAATAGACTTGCTATCTTCATTTATGTCTCAGATCAAGCACCAAAAATGTAGTGAATACAAAAAGCAGTTTACGAATAGTGGGACTAATTTATTATATACAGAAAATGATTCAAATCATCTTAGCCCTTTATTAAATGAAATAGCTCCTTAACATTTTAATAAAATTCATGAGGACAGTAAAAGTAAGGAAATTGCTTTCAATGGCTTGAAAAAAGCACACACACACACAAAAGAAAATGCACCACAAAAATGAATGTATAAATTGGACTTCAATATATTGTGTAAGCTTAAAGATTTTTTTTTTATGTTGGCATTCATCTGCTTTGATAGATAAGGTACACATTGGGATTATGTGCCTGCTGTTGTGAAAGTTTATATGTTCAGATTAAATAGATATGGTTGTTAAAGGTGAATGAACGAGACATTAAAACATGACTGCATAAGAAACACTGTGCATGGGTTTAACAATAATTAGTGCACTAAATCCTAATTTAAACCCAGCCCAGGCAAAACATCTCATTTATAACTTAGCTATAGGATAGCACAATATCATGGAAATATATATCCGAGATACTATAGTCACAATTACTCAAATAATTTTCTGATCTTTATTTACCCTTGCACATTTTTTTCTTGGTGTGCTCCATCAGAATCTCAGTAACTTCAAAAATATTTTATTAATCACAAGTGAAATGTAATGTTGTAGTACTGCATCACCTTTTTTAAAACAAATTGATTTAGATGTATACAGCTGCTGGCAGGAAGGATTTTCTCTATGAGTCTTTCTTGCTACAGATCTATAGAAGCCTTTGACTGAGGACACTGTTGATGTTTCACTTTGAACTGTTCTTAATGTTCTTCACTTTATGAAGAATTCTTCTTTGTGAAATCCTGGAGGAGTTCATAGAACAGAGTCTGCCTTCTTCATTAGCTTAAGATTCTTTAAGTCATCTGCTCTGATGCTGTTACCCCAGCAGATAATGATAGGAGAGATCACATCCTCCACCACAGACCTGTAGAAGAACTGCAACCATCTGCTGCAAACACTGAAGGACCCAAGCTTCCTTAAGAAGTATATTCTGCTCTGGCTCTTCACAGTTGCCCCTCCAAGATGTTCTGTTTTGCCTTCAGTTTCTCGCAAAGTAAGTCAGGCTGAATCGTGTTAAATGCACTGGAGACATCAAAGAGCATGATCTCCATAGTGCTGCTGCCAACGCATCTCTCTTGAGTTTTCCAGGCTTCATTAAATTGCTCTCTGCTTGTATGATCATAACGCCTGGCAGAGAGACACTGGAGTCTGGCATATTGTTGTTAATATATATACATTATGAAGCATTTTTTTTAGTTTGTCCCAAGTGATCTCTTCCCAGGAAAAGAACGGGAGAGAGAAAGCTTCAAGGTGTAAACGCCGGGCTTTCCTAATCATGATCCTTTTGTCATGTTTCACTAAAATAATTAATACAGCCTTGCTGATATCCTGGCTGGGTACCGTATTTGCTAGTGCTTGGAGTTGTTTTAAGTGGTTTCCTAAAGATATCGCATTGCTCATA